ATCAGGCCTGGAGACCCAGGATGGGGAGGGGGTGTAGGAGTCAGGGTGGGAGACTGAGGAGGAGCTCAGGGAAGGGGTGCGGGAGTCAGGGCAGGGAGTTGGGAGGAGAGGGAGCAGGTGAGGGCCGCCAGTTTCTCCACAGGACAGTGTGGAATATGCACCCTGCCTACCGGTTTCCCTCCAGGCCTAGCCCAGGGCAGTTGGGGGGTTCTGTGCACTCTGCCTGCTGGCTTCTCCGTGGGGGCCAGGCCAGGGCAGGGTGGGGCAGAGCAGGGGGAGAGACACAGGCCAGACCTGCCAGCATTCTCCAGTCCCAGTCTGGGGGGGCGCAAGGTGGGGGCCAGCACTGAAGAATTCCCCTACTACTCAAACACAAAAACAACACAGCTGTTACTGATGCTTGAACAGTGGCCATTCATGCATAAAAGGACACAAACAATTTCAGGTTTGATCCAAAGCTCACTGCTGAAGATCACAGAAAAATTCACATTTATTTCAGTGCACTTTGAATAAGGACCTTAGGTCCAAAATTTAGATTTTGTTTAAAAAAGGTGGGGGAGGAGATTCAGAACTTAAAACAAATAGAAGTGTGCCCTAATTTTTAAGTAAATATCAACAATATTTTTTTTAGAAAACCACAAACTGCCATGTGGTGTTGGAAAACAAACCACAAGCATGATGCAAATGGAAATAAAGTTGGCCAGAAAAAAACTCTGATGAAATATATTTAAGTCAGAATTCATTGATTCAATTAAATTGAATCATTTCTCCAAGACAGTTGGTTTCCTGCCCTCCTGATGAACTGCTAAGGACTCCAGGACCTCTACAAAACTGAATTACCTTTCTCCAACCAAGTGTGCATATTAAACAACTAACCCCTCTAGCTCCAACGTCTACTAGGCGATGTAAGCAATTAGTTGACTATCCGATAAGCATATGCTTATCAGCAGGGCTTGACGAACGGCGGCAAAAACCACTCACCAGCCCTGTACAGCGCATGCGCAAGAGCCACATTGCACATGTGCGCACCGCGAAATAATGGGGCTCGCGGCTGAAATCTACTCACCACGGGCAAGTAGATTGTATTGTTTGTCGAGCCCTGCTTATCAGAGAGATAACTAGTGACTCGACTAGTCATTCCCCACCCCACCCTACCCCACCTCTATCACACAGAGGCAGCAAAGTGGAGGAGCAGGAGCTGGTGCTGGGGAGCCAGCTTAAAAGCCAATTCTCCCCAGCACCATCTCCATGGGGGGAGAAGAGGGGGAGGAGCAGAGGAGGCAGAGGTGTAGCAGGAGACTGGGTGCAAGCAGGGAATCAGCTGATCCATTGACTAGTCGATTAGCTGATTAAATGCCATTTAACATCCCTAATGTCTACACTGAGAAAAATGCAAAAAGAAGCCAACAGTAAATAGTGAAGAATTAAAACAAAACAACCTGCTCTATTAACGGAATCTCTAGCCATCTCAACAGTCTGAGCCCTCATCCTGCTGTGATCTAAGGGAAGAAAGCTTCCATGACAACTTCCACAGAGCTGTAAATATGTCCACACACATGCACGTCACTGTAGCACCAGACCTTGAAGATTGGTGAATAAAACAATCTGCTCCTTCAAAAAAAAAATATTTAGCAGCACCTGCTTCTGTATAGTCAATGAACAAAAGGCAAAATACACTATGACAGATACTTGTAAAAAGCTTCTTCAAACATAAACAGGAACTAATCTTCTTGCTATTAGCAACCAAGCCGAGAGAGAAAACCACAGCAAACAAATAAAAAAACTGAATGTTAACAAATCTCCGGGACCGGATAGCATTCATCCAAGGGTTCTAAAAGAACTCAAATGGGAAATTGCTGAACTATTATTTGTGGTTTGTAACCTATCCTTTAAATCGGCTTCCATACCTAATGACTGGAAGGTAGCTAACGTGACACCAATATTTAAAAAGGGCTCTATAGGCAATCCGGGCAACTACAGACCGGTAAGTCTAACTTCAGTACCGGGCAAATTAGTCGAAACAATAGTAAAGAATAAAATTGTGAAGCATGTAGAAAAACATAATTTGTTGGACAAAAGTCAACATGGTTTCTGAAAAGGGAAATCCTGTCTTACTAATCTATTAGAGTTCTTTGAAGGGGTTAACAAACATGCGAACAAGGGGGATCCAGTAGATATAGTATACTTAGATTTTCAGAAAGCCTTTGACAAGGTCCCTCACCAAAGGCTCTTGTGTAAATTACATGGCCATGGGATAAGAGGGAAGGTCCTTTCTTGGATTGAGAACTGGTTAAAAGACAGGAAACAAAGGGTAGGAATAAATGGTAAATTTTCAGATTGGAGAGGGGTAACTAGTGGTGTACCCCAAGGGTCAGTCCTGGGACCAATCCTTTTCAACTTATTCATAAATGATCTGGAGAAAGGGGTAAGCAGTGACGTAGTAAAGTTTGCAGATGATACCAAACTGTTTAGGATAGCCAAGACAGAAGCAGACTGTGAGGGACTCCAAGAAGATCTCACCAAACTGAGTGATTGGGCAACAAAATGGCAAATGAAATGTAATGTGGGTAAGTGTAAAGTAATGCACATCGGGAAAAATAACCCCAACTATACGTACAGTATGATGGGGGCTAATTTGGCTACGACAAATCAGGAAAGAGATCCTGGATTTATCGTGGACAGTTCTCTGAAAACTTCCACACAGTGTGCAGCGGCGGTCAAATTACTGCCCCTGTATAAAACTATGGTACGCCCACATCTTGAATACTGTGTACAGATGTGGTCTCCTCACCTGAAGAAAGATATTTTTTGCCTTGGAAAGGGTTCAGAAAAGGGAAACTAAAATGATTAGGGGTTTGAAACGGGTCCCATATGAGGAGAGGTTAAAGAGACTGGGACTATTCAGTTTAGAAAAGAGGAGACTGAGGGGGGATATGATAGAGATATATAAAATCATGAGTGGTGTGGAAAGGGCGGATAAAGAAAAGTTATTTATTAGTTCCCATAATAGAAGAACTAGAGGACACCAAATGAAATTAATGGGTAGCAGGTTTAAAACTAATAAAAGAAAGTTCTTCTTCACACAGCATGTAGTCAACCTGTGGAACTCCTTGCCAGAGGACGCTGTGAAGGCTAGGACTATGATAGAGTTTAAAGAGAAGCTAGATAATTTCATGGAGGTTAGGTCCATAAAAGGCTATTAGCCAGGGGATAAAATGGTGTCCTTGGTCTTTGTTTGTCAGAGGCTGGCGAGGGATGGCAGGAGACAAATCGCTTGATCATTGTCTTCGGTTCACCCTCTCTGGGGACCCTGGTGCTGGATGGACCTTTGGTCTGACCCAGTACGGCCGTTCTTATGTTCTTAAGCAAATTATATGGGATTGCTGTGCTATTGAGGGACGTGATTCTACTAGTAGTGGCACTATTTTCATTTCAAGGAATACGATATTCACATATTCATCAACATGATGGAAAATATGCTTACTGCCGCTAAACCTAAAGTTCAAATATTACGTTAACCATTCCTATCTTCCCCCAAATAATGGATAGTTTAGAATTTATAAGACTTTTCAAAAATAGAGGTACTTCTTCAGTTTCCTTTATCGTTTTTGAAACGTTCGTGGAAATCTAACGCTCCCTGGCATTTTTGTATGACCATTTCAGGCTGAAAATTCCACTTTACCTGCATGCAAAATTCACACACAAAATAAAGTGCACCTTGGTTATATTTAACCCCTTGGGATCCAGGTATAGCCAGGGGTTTGTTATAGTGAGGTGAGGCGAAACATGGCAGGGAGACAGAGCACTCCTCTGGCTCTGAACCCATGGTGGAGGCAGCATGCCCCCTCCTCACAGCCTGGAGGCCAGAGATGCTGATAGCCCCCCTCCCACTTTCAGTCCTGCTGCAGCACAGGAGGAGCTGTCAGAGTGGGCCTGAGGAGAGAAAGATGTAGTGAATTCATGTGAATAGCTGGAGGAAAAGGATGTATTTGAGGGATTCAGAGGATCTAGATATAAACTGCAAAGCTAGATAGAATGTGCAGGAATACCATGGTAAAGATAGATAGAATGTGCAGGGATAGCATGCATTGACAGCCCTACAATGGGAGAAGATGGGGGAAGATGATTGGCTGAACAGAGGCAACTGAAGTGGGTAAGGCGGAGAGGAAAATAATGACAGAGCTAGGAAACCTTGGAATAACCATGCTGGACCAATATTTTAGTATCTTGTCTATGACAACAGCCAGAGCAAAATGATTCAGAAAAAGCAGCTCTCACTGCACAATTACAGGTTAAACTGTTCATTGTGGAAGTTTCTTCCTAACACCAAGCAAGCAGTAACTGCTTTACATATAAACATCAATATGATTCACATTATTCACCTCAACCTTTTTTACGTCATGCTAAGTTTTTGCACATGGTCACTTATGTCAATGAGTCCTGCGGATCAATAATATGGTGGATACAAATTATAGCACAAGTTCCAAGGGTAATGAAATAATGTCACATACCCCGCATTTACTGTATATAAGAAAAATGGGTAAGGCAAGCAAAGTCATACTGGCAGTTGAGCAACTGCTTTGACTTTTACCCATGCTATCATATTAAAAAATTGTAAAAATAAGAATAACCAAAAGCAGTTATTTGACTTTAAAACTCTGCGAGTTATTAGCCAAAATTACTTAGCAATTACAATCTTTAACTGATTTAATAAGCCTCCTTTTTCTGCACTGTCCTTTATCAATGTAGCTTGCTGTTTTTGATGCCAAAGTTATAAATGAAAAAGCATCACAACACTAGGAGCATGCTTATAGAATCACCCCCTGGAGGTTCCCAAGCCTCCAGGATTGTCCTGGAGTCTCCAGAAATTAATCTTTTAATATTATGCCACCTGATGAAACCTTCAGGTGTAAGTCCAACTAAAATTGGCAACCCAAGTTGGAAATACAACTCCACAGCAGCTAAAAGTCTCCTCCTGCAGGAGAGTCCATGAATGATCTGCTCTACTAATAATGAAACACTTGTACTGTCAGCATAAAAAAGTCACACTTGTTCTAATTTTAACCTTTATTATTTATTTATTTTATTGGTAATAGCTAGTGGCTAGATTCTGCAAGCCATTATGCATGTGCTTGACTTTATTCATATGAACTCAGTGGACCAGTCCCATGAATAAATCCAAGCAAGTTGTCAAGTGTCATCAAGATCAAGACCTGAGATCATAATGAGGGCTTTATCAAATTCATTTTGGTCAATTTCATTATCTCAGCTATTTGAATGTGAAATGTCTCAGTATTGTAACTGTAAGGGATATAGGGATGTAAACAGTTAAATGATTAACCAGTAGGCTTATCATTAACTGGATCTTAACAATTAACCCCAGCAGCTGACCAGGACTCCAGGCAGAGTAATCCCATCCCAAGGCTGAGGGGGACCCGCTGGAGCATCCAGAGCCATGGGAGACCCCATGGCCATGGGGGGGGCTGGGCAGAGTATCCAACACTGCCGGGAGCTGGTTAATCAGAGGGACTCCAGCCCCACCAGCCCCACGGACTGGGCCCTCAGTCAGCAGCTGCCACTGTCCAGCCATCCAGTTTTGCAGGCTGCAGCACAGCAGTAAGGTTGACATTGTATGGTGTTGTCACTGTATGATGGGATTGTCACTCTTAATTCTGTGCTTCTGCTGGTGGGGCACTGCCTTCCTAACTGGATGTTCAGCCAACAGCTGATGCTCTCTGGCCATTCAGCTCTGAAGTCAGTGCAGAAGATGGCAATACTGGAACCTCCCTAAAATAAACTTATGATCTCTATGACCACAACTCCTTGTTGGGTCACAAAACATCCCTCCCCCCTGAGAGAAATGCTGGTCATCATGTGAACTCTATATAGTATATGTTAAGAGCACACAAAAGGTCAGATTTAACAGGGGGAGACCAGAGTATATAGTCTGACACAAATTTTTCATGGCTATAAGTCTGGTAGGAACCTAATCATACATGTAAGTGAGTCTGCTTGTATAAGACCAGAAAAGGCCCACAATTTGCTCTTGCCAAAGGAAAAGGATTTATGACAGAAGATTATCAGGAAGACTCATGTGGAGTAGACTAAAGGACTTCTTGTGCTAAATGCTTACCTAAAATAAAGGAATGAAGCACCCACTTATGACCTCTTGAAGAGGCTGCAGCCTAGCTAATTTTGTTTTTTTCTCTTTTTTGGACTATTTTTTTTTACTCTAAAAGGTGGAATTTATGATTTAGCTGGAAGGCTAAACCCAACCAAACTGGAAAATGAAACACTGTCCAAATCTGATGCCTAAGTAAGCTGAAGCCTCACAAGTCCCTAAACTCTTTTCTTAATTTGTATACTTTTTGTGTCTGAAAGTAATTTGTACAGTCCTCCTCCCTCTTCTGTTTGCATGGACCTACTGGACAACAAATGAGGAGAGGCATTTAAAAATAGGAAAATATACAGAACTAGAACAGTTGGTTGAGGAACTTGGTGAAAAATGTTTCTGAAATCACTCTTTAAAAAAAAAAATAG